TCAAACTCATCGGCCAGATCCACCTGCGATCCCCACGAGCTCATTCCCTTCCGTGCCTCAGCAGCGGCGGGTCCTGAATCACGGGAAGCAGATGGCTGCCCCTCTTTCCTCGCAAAAAAGAGACAAATGAGAGTGGAGCTTTTCCCTTGGAAAAAACGCTCACAGTGCACGCCGATTGCCCCCTCGGAGGCATCGTGTGCATGCTCTTCGCCCAAACAAATAACGCATAGATTGTGTGTGTCATCAGACGTCAAACAACGTCAGCACTGATGCACACATCCTTAAACGCTTTGCTAGTGCTCGCCCTAATGAGATGAATAGATCACTCTTACCACAGAAATGCATGCTTCAAACAAAACAGTCAATGAAGACGAAGAAGAGAATGATGTGTGCTCCCGGCGCCTATTTATACTATAGTCGCACCGGTAGTGACGTCATGGCTGTCGCCGGCCAACGAGTTGGTGTTTTTTCAATGTATGCTTCAGACACGGGTCACGACGAGGTGTTCCCCATAGCGACCCCTAGAGGATGCAGTTCTAAGTTCCCATGAAAGGGAACTTGTTCTGAGTAAAACAATCAAATAGAAAGTAGTTCTGTGCACCTCCGTTAAAAAGCAAATTATATTATGCAATGAGCAACATGCAAATTATTTTTACAGCTGGTAAGAATAACAACTACAGCTGAATGTTCAAGTACATGCTGTACATAGTTTTGCAGCAGATATATACATAGATCAGTGCATAAATAAATATATTGTTGTAACACAGTTCGTAGATCAGGATGAAGGAGGTGGGAACCCAGGCTCAGCCCTGCTTAGCTTCAGTGGGTAACCAGTCTTGGGCTAAAGGGTGATATGGCTGCCGATGTAAATTCCATACATGTTCATATTTGTTTTGCCTGATCAGCAGCTCATGAAACAGAAGCTGTTCAGCTATCAGAACTCCAGAGCCATAGCATATACTTGGCTCTTTACTGGCTTTCAATATGGCTGGTTGAATTTAATTTCAATATATATTTAAATAATATATGTAATTGTGTATTATAAGATATTAAATCAATTTTTTCAAATATTTTTTATCTCACCATGCACAGCATGAGAGCTTAATTCTGAGCTGTTTCTCACAGTCTTGTACTGTGTCTGGTAAAGGGATGCCACTGGTCTCAAGAAGAAGCAGGCACAGGGCTGCACCAATGATCAGCCCACTGCTGTAACAGATCATAGCTGGCAGACGGATCCCCCTGTCAGGGGTCACCACCGCATTTATAATTTAATACAAGCAGCAAACTGTTCGGATAAAAAAAAATTTTTTATTCAGATATTGCTAATAGTTGCAGAGGAAAGAAGTGTTGAACTTGAGACGACAAACTCGCCAGTGGGGTTTTTTTATGTAATAGCCCCTCAAAGTTACATCATTCAGTCAAGCTATTTACTTTGAGCTTTAAAAAACAACTCAAGAAAGACACCTCCCTCTGTGTCAGGGGTGCTTACAGGTAAGTTAAGTGTCACATACTTAAAAACCCTCTAAATCTGCAAAAACACCTGTGCTGTGTCGCAATACAGCACATACATTCAATAGTACCTTCAAAAAGTGAAAATAAAATATTTTACGAATAAACCATCACAGAAATTATATTACCACAGTTAAACTTCCCTACTCAATGTAACTCATGACAAACAGACACAAGAGTATAGTTGGTTACGTAAAGTTGGCGAAATTAGACTAGTGGAGGTCTTCTCTGAGAGTGGCTTCTGCGTCTCATTGTACACAGAATCCAAAAGCTGCCAAAAAAGTAATGTACAATTTATGTTAGCACAGTTCTGCATACTGAAATGGCATGTCTCTCCACTCTCCACAAACATTTGAGCAATTTTAGAGTATGACGTTGTGTCTTACAAGACCCACGTAGTGCTTGTCCTCAGGACTTCTATTCTGATAGCCCTCTAGTGTTTTCATCCTCTTATTTAGAAGCAGCCATCTAGGAGATTCTGGAAGAAAGCTAATAATTGCAAGAAAGAATGAATAAACAAAAACAAACACTTTTCTTTAAATAATTCAACACTTTAACCATGCACTGAAAATTTGTGTTTGTTCTACTAACAAATAAAGAGGTAGGAAAAGGATCTGAGGGATGCCCAGTGCCAGATGAAACGGCATCCAACCACTGGCCAAGAAAGCTACAGCTGCCAATCCCATCATTCCCAGACTGAAGATGAAGGAAAACAGGGTGGGTGGCCAGATACGATAC